TCTTTCCACCTTGTTTAGTAGAGGCTCATTCCAGCCCCTGTATAAGCTGTAAAGATTTACATTGGAAAAGTTTACAGAGTATGCACATGTATCAGTCAGAAAGGAACCCTGCAGCCAGGGTGAGGATGGAAGATTGAAACCATTGTCACTCATCATTTGTCACATGTGTGTAAGCTTGCTTCACAGTCAGTCTCTCTTGGCCTGCTCTTCTATTTGTGTGCTTTATGGTTAAAATGAGACTTTTTTGCTCCTGCTAGGAAGGTTCTTGCCTGTGTGATTTTAAAGGCTATAGAAATATATAATTTTCTGTAGAAGGACCCACAAACCACAAACAAGCCTTAAACTATTGACACATGTGAAATCAAATTCTCTGATCATTTATACCACAGTAACTAAATCTATCATAGTGAATCTAGAATAGCTCCAAACCATTCTCTGAGTCTATGATTGGCATTGAGGGAGCTACTTCTGGCTTCTCTCTGGTGAAGCTGCAGACAGAATTTGACCATAGAAACATTATTATTTAGCTTATTAATCACCAAGGAAACTTGCTAGCAGAACAATCCTACCAGTTTTCATTATTTCATTTATAATCTCATTAGAAACAGAATTCTAAATTGCATGCAGAGACTTCAGCAGGAAGAAAACAGGCAGCATTTAGCAAGCAGTCCAACCTATTTCCAGTCTAATAAGTTAATAGCAACATTCTTACAGAAGCTCATGTGAATAAAAGCAAAATACAATAGAATTCTGAAATGAAAAAGAGAAAGAGAAGCACATAAATGAATGAAATAGTTTAATGTTTAATGCCACTGGTTAAGAAAAGATGCTTATTGCTTTCACCAGTCTCCCAGTTAGATGAAGCTACCAACCAATTAACCTTCAGAGTACACAAGGCTTTCTTAATACAATAGTTGTGAATGGAACAGTGTAAGAATGATGCATTATCTATCATTTGAATACATGCTGAAGAGAATGAACTCAAATAAAGAAACCAAGTTCAACATATAAACAAAATATAAATGTTAACATATGCCTACTTGTTCAAAAGAAACTGATGAGCCTACCATATGATGTAGTTACTTAAATATGATCTCTAACCAAGACACAGGAAAATGCTATGATTTATGATGGCAGATTAGCTAAGTGATTATTTCAGTCAGGGAAGGTGTCCTTTCTGATAAGAGCTCAGTCAAGTTTATCCTTGTGCATCTTATATGTAAGTTTTGTTAGCAGTGAAATTAAGAGATTTGATGTTTAAGCTACTGTCAGTAGAGAGAAAATCAAAAATGTAATGTTCTACAAACCAGTTAGATTTTTTTAAAAGTTCTGCCTCAGACTATTGCAGATCTTTCATATTTTCTTTTCTAGTCCTCCACTGTATTCAAGCAACAATGGTGTCTACTGAATTACTAGGAGCATACCTCAATTCTAAAGTCAGATGGCGTTGTCATTGGATATTTTAAAGGAGGTGTTTTTATGGTTTTTCTTAATCCTGAGACTTTACACCATATCAGTTCTCTGCAGGGTAGCCATCTGCATGATACCTAGTTCTTCTGTGAGTGAGGTTTTTGTCCTTGATAGTAGATGGCAAAAGTGCCCATTCCAGACAAAAATTATCCTGGATTTCAGACCACAGAAATGCAATATGAGAGGGTTGTGGTGACTTGCTGTGTCCACCACACACCTCCTTTCTTCAGTTCAGCAAATCACTTGATTTTTCAGCACCACCTTGGCTGCTCACTTATGGACCAGGAACACTAATAAGCCCTTTACCACACTCTTTGCTTATCTTCTCTATAAGAATGTGTTGCAGGATACTAGGAGAGTAGCTGGATCTGCAGCGTCTCTTGCAATGGAGGCTTTAGCTGGAGCCAGTAGAAAGGACTGGAATGAAAACCGTAGCTGCAGCTATAGAAATAATTATAAATAGGGAGGAAGAGGAAGGATTATTGGCATGACTTACACATAGACTGTTTATCCTCAGCTGTTACACATCCCATGTGTCATTTGCTTCATCACAGCATTATGTTTCCTGAGATCTACATCCTTCAATAATGGTTTTACTTTGAGTTGAGGTATCTGATTGCTAGTCTTCCAGAAAAAACCTCATCTCGCCAAATAATTGGTATGAGGCCATTTTCCTCTTCTGTTCAAGTAACCAAGCTTATAGATCTGTGGGGGAAGAGAGATCCATTTGTTTAGGTTCCTTGTAATAGCTATTTAGGACTCTGGAAAGTTTAATGATACACTCTTAACTATTATCTTTGCCAGTGTGGCTGTATAAATGGTATACTTTATGAAAACATATAATTTTGATGCTATACAGGGCAGTTATTGCAATTAGGGGGACATAGTTTTGTCTCCCAATTTGGGAAATGAGAAAGTGGAGATAATGAAGCCAATGGCAGGTTCTTGATGGATTTGGGTAGCGTAACAACAATTTCCTCAATAAGCAGAACTGACCAGATTTGCTGGAAGAGTTCTCCATGTAACACATCAGTCTAGAGTGCTGAAGGCCCTTAGCAGTTAGCTCTCCTTGCCCAAGCAGCCTCATTCTTGCTTTACCTCTGGAAGTGGAGTCCCTGGCAGGGGCAGAGAACGTGGACAGTGTCCTCTGCCCTGTGCCTGGCACAGCCAGCACAGAAACTGCACTTGGCAGGTGCATGGGGCTCCCAACCAGCCTGGGCTTTCATCTCTGTGACACACACTGGGACTCCAGGGTTTGAGCTGTGGCTTCCTGGGACAATTCAGCTCTTGCTGGAGAGGTGATAAATTATCTCATAATAAGCTGAGTCCTTTAGATTATATTAGGTTAACTGACCGTCAGCACTTATTTTATAACATAAATTACTTATATTGAATTGACCAGAAGTTTTAGCATTTGATAAATAATTAATAATAGTACAGAAATTAAATGGGAGGTTGCATACCATTCAATTTTCTTTAATTTTCTTTATTTCACAATTTCAACTGCTGCCTCTGGTTTGTTTTTTTTAATATAAATCCTCTGAAGTTGGTGTTATGGTTATTAATGATAGGGATAATAAAAAATGAATTAAATCTTTACAGCCTTAAATAAGAAATTGTGTCTCATTAAAGTATATAACAAACTTAAATGCACTCTTACTTGTAGAGTTTTTGTTTTCTCTTTTATTTCTTCTTTAATTTTAATAATATTTGTCTTTTAGGAATGTAAAATTTCATTATGTATAAAAGAATACACTTGCATACTCTTGTGTCAGATAAGGCTTTAGCTTAAGTGGTTATTGTCCTGAGGTGCAATTTGTTAAAAAAGTGAGAGAAACAGATTGATGTGATAAATACTAGAATGACCTGCACAGCTGCATTCTACCTTACCAATACAGAAATGACTCTACATTGTCCATCAAGTAAAACTATGGCTTTATGTAAGGATAAATAAGGCATTGTTTATTCATTTTCAAAATAACACAATTTTAAAATAATCAAGATTAAAAGGTCACATATTTATTAATATGTAGCACACTACTCATTACTTTGATAATATTATGCAACTGTTGCCTTTCTGCTGCTGGTCCTTTGCATTCCTTTAATGTGCTCCTCTTTCTTTTTATGTGCCAAATGTTACTATGCTTTTTTGTTTTATTCAAGCTGAATATATTAACCTCTGCAAGACTTACTAGAAGGCAATAGTTTTCCTCCAGAAGCTAGAAGAAGAATTTGAAAGGAAAAAGCCCAAAACGCAACACTACAAATTTATACATGGCCTCATCAGCAGCTTCTTTTTAAAATTACTTTTTAAGCAGTAAATTTTATATTGGAATCCTTATATTTATTAACTTTAAAATGCTTAAAGGCCCAGAAGAAGTTTATATTTGAATCATTATAACTCATTCAGCTTCTATCTCTAGACATCTTTGACAAGGGATAT